CCCCCCCGCCCAGTGGCTGAACGCCCACCACTCCCTGGGTGACGGAGGAGGAGGGGGCAAAGGAGTTTAAAAGTGATGAGTCCGAGGACGCTGGTGTGGCAGTGAGAGGATGCCTTCAGCATTAATGCCCCCCCCACGCACATATGCCCAGTGTGTGCCCACATCCCCCCACCCCCGGCCAGCCACTGTCCCTCCGCCTGGCACCCTGAGGGTGGCTCCCCATAGAAACCGGGATCAGAGTCTGCCTGGGGAAGAGCTCATTAGCATCTCATCTGCATTCTCCAAGCTCACATTCTGTTCCCTGAATGTTTAGACAAAATGCTGTTCCGTTTCCTTAAGAGACTCAGTCAGGCCAGTCAGTGTGGAGGCAGCTGCTGTTCCTTAAAGAGCAGCCATGCAAAGATGGGGGGGGGCAGGCCTGGCCTCCTCTCCCCTCCCCTCCCCTCTCCTCCCTTTCCTTTCCTCCCACCTCGAGGTGTGAAACTGCAGCCTGTCTTCCCCTAGAACCCTTGGAGGCCTCAGCCCGGCTGGCCACCTCCAGTGTCTTGCCTTCCCTGGGCCTTAGGGCACAGCCGAGGGCCTTGAGGGGGGGGCCTCTCCCGTTATCTCCTACAGGAATGTTGCTTATAAAATACGGTCCTTGAATGCTGTTTATATGATCACAGAATCATAGTTGGAAGGGACCGTACAGACCACCTGCCCAATGCAGGACCAGCCTAAAGCATCTCTGACCAATATCCGCCCAGCCTCTTCTGGAAAGCCGCCAGTGAAGGGGAGCTCACCGCCTCTCTCTAGGCAGCTGATCCCACCTCTGAACCACTCTGACCGTGAAAAAGTGTTTCCTAGTATCCAGCCAATGCCTTTCTGCCTGTAATTTAAACCTGTTGCTTTGGGTCCTCTCCTCTGCTGCCAACCGGAACAGCTCCTTGCCCTCCTCCAAAGGACAGCCTTTCGAATATCTAAAGAGAGCAATCCTGTCCCCCCCTCAGTCTCCCCTTCTCCAAACTAAAGGCCCTTAGCCTTTCCTAGTAGGGCTCAGTCTGATATGGTCTGGCTTACCCAAAAAAGCCCCTCTCTTCTGGGAAAGCGGGCAGGGGTGGCCTTCAGCACCCTCCCCTCCTCTGGGGAGCCCTTCGGGAGTTTCCCCCAGGGCCTCTTCTCGCTTAGGTGATGAAGTAGGGCTAAATGATGCATTCCTTTTTTTTTTTTTTGCATTCTGGTTGACCATGAGGCAGGGAAGCAACCCGTCCAGGGGACCTTCAGGCCCAGGTGAACTTCTCTCCCTTCCCTGGGGAGCAGACCCAGGGGCAGCAGGGGCCCACTCGGCAAGGACAGCTCCCTGGGCTAATGGCCAAGCCAATGAGTGTCAGCTCTGCAGCTGCCATGGACTGGGGGGGGGGATGCTGGACGCTGGATAAGTTGCCTCTGTCTGTTTCTCTGGAATGTTTAGTTTCCCTTCTCCCTGCATCCTGATCGCCCATTAGTCTGAGTTGGTGACCTTGGTGCCTTGTTACTCCTTCTCCCTGGGAATGCTTACCCGTTAGCCTAGGCGGGCTTTTGCATGACTCCTGATTGGCCCCCAACCACCCACTGACCCTTTTGATTCCTGTATATCACTAGCCTGCGCATGCTTGCTTTTAGTTCTGACAATGAGTGTATGCTCAGAAGACCTGCCTTTAATGTACTCAATAAACGTGAACCTCTTGAAGGAGTGTTGTTGTCCTCAAAAGGCCCACAGGGCTTCGTAGACCTTCTGAACAAAGGCCGCCCTGACAACATCCCTGTGGGGCACACTGCTCTTGCTCGTGTGGTACACACAGGGCTCTGGGGTGGAGTGACTCACTCAAGGCCATGCATGGCGATGGTGGGAACTGGATCTCTGGCTCTCGGACCAATGCCCAGGTGCCCTTCCACCGGCTCCTCCACTCTGGGTCCCCGTCAGTCTCTGCTGGGTTGGCCCAAAGGCCCATTCAGGCATCTCACAGCACATTCACACAAACAGACTGGGAACACACAAGAGACTGCCTTCTACTGCATCAGACCCTTGGTCCATCCAAGTCAGCATTGTCTACTCAAGACTGGTAGTGGCTCCCCAGGGTGTCAGGCAGAAAAGGGACTTCCCCATCGCCTACCACTCGGGACTGAACCTGGGACCTTCTGCATGCCAAGAAGAGGCTCTGCCCCTGAGCCATTAGCCACAAGGTATGGGTAGGAACTCTTGGCTTGGGGCAACTGATGCTCTGTCTTCTTGGTGCTGGGGGAGGGGGGTAACAGTGGGAGGGCTTCTAGTGTCCTGGCCCCACTGCTGGTCCTCCTGATGGCACCTGGTATTTTTGGCCACTGTGTGACACAGAATGTTGGACTGGATGGGCCACTGGCCTGATCCAACATTGGCTTCTCTTAGGTTCTTATGTTCTCCCTGATATGAACACAGGAAGTTGCCATCTACTGAATCAGAGGATCCAAGGTGGGTGTTACCCACTCAGACTGTCAGCAGCTCTCCAAGGTCCCAGGCGGAGGAGAGAACTCTTTCCGATCACCTCCTGCCTGGTCCTTTGGACTGGAGATGCTGCCAGGGATTGGCCCTGGGGTATTCCGCATGCCAAGCAGAGGCTCTGCCACTGAGCCACGGCCAGCTGGCTGCTCACAGCAACCCTACAAGCAGGGAACATAACAGTGGCAGTGAATTCCACGTGTTCATCACTCTTTGGGTGAAGAAGGACTTCCTTTTATTTGTTCTAACCTGACTGCTCAGCAATTTCATGAAATGCCCACGAGTTCTTGTATTGTGAGAAAGGGAGAAAAGTACTTCTTTCTCTACCTGCTCTATCCCATGCATAATCTTATAAACCTCGATCATGTCAATCATCAGGGCATGAGGGCCACAGCCGGACATCCGGTTGCCCTGCGCCAAGTGGCCTTCCCTTGCAAGCTGCTTCTGGTCCTGCAGCCTGCCTCCACCTCTCTCGGCCCACGGCCCCTGATGGACCCACCCCCGTTTCCCGCCCCTTGTGCTCCAGGTGGAAAGGTCGGAGGTCATCAAGAGCAACCTGAACCCCACCTTCGCCAAGGTCTTCATGGTCGACTACTACTTCGAGGAGGTGCAGAAGCTGCGCTTCGAGGTGTACGACATCCACGGCCACACCAGCATCGGGACGCACGATGATGACTTTCTGGGGGGCATGGAATGCACTGTGGGCCAGGTGAGAAGGGGCGGGTGGCGTCGTGGTTAGTAGCGCGGACCCTAATCTGGGAGAACCGGGTTTGATTCCCCACTCCTCCTTATGCAGCTGCTGGTGTGACCTTGGGTCAGTCACAAGTTCTCTCAGAGCTGTTCTCTCAGGAGCAGTTTGTCAGAGCTCGCTCAGCCCCACCCGCCTCACAGGGTGTCTGTTGTGGGGAGGGGAAGGGAAAGGAGTTTGTAAGCCGCTCTGAGACTCATTCGGGTAGTGAAGGGCGGGGTATGAATCCGATCTCTTCTTCTTCATCCCAGGCTGTGGGGGACCGTGGGCTGGCGCAAGAGTGGGAGCCACTGCGGGGAAGAGCTGTTTGTCAGCGCCCCCAGAGCAATTTCCCTTCCGAGTGAGAGGCAGTCGGGCCCTGGGGGGCTGGTGCTCCCCCCCCCTCTCAGCGTGCAGGGAATTGCGAGCAATTTCCAGGGGCCCCCACCACCACCACCCCCCATCCTCTGCTAGGCGGCAGTTCATGTGTGAAGCGCTGATGAGCAAGTCTCCGGAGGCTCGGGGAAGCTGCCGCAGCTGGCCTGCCTGCCGAGCGCTCCCCCCCCCCAGCTCCTGGCAGGCTGCGAGGCGAGGACATTTCTTTGCTCCTGCCCTCCCCACGGGGTCCCTGAGGATGCGCAGAGGGCCTGGAGTCCCCCCGGAGCCCAGAATGGGGAGTCTCTCTCCCCTCCGCTGCCCCCCACTTCCTGCAGAGGACAAGCCTGTCCCGGTACTCGACAGAAGCCACTGCAGGTGCTGGAGGGACCCCCAGGCACTGAGGGGCTTGTGGAGACCGCAGAGAGGAGACTTGTGCCAGGGGGTCCTCCTGGCGTGCCTCACAAAGCCCCCCACCCCCCACTCTCCCTTGCAGATTGTGGCCCAGAAGCGAGTGACCAAGCCGCTGTTCCTGAAGTACGGCAAGTGTGCCGGGAAGTCCACCATCACCGTAAGTGCCCTGCCCCCATTGCCCTGCCCCCCTGGGCCTCCAGGTTCCCTCCCCCCCCCCGGCAATCCCCCTCTGACTGGCGCTCCTCTCTGACAGGTGACCTCTGAAGAGATTTCCGGGGACAACGGCTACGTGGAGCTCTTCTTCCGTGCCAAGAAGCTAGATGACAAGGTAGCCACACGTAGGGTTCCTAACACTTCATTGGAAAATGCCCAGAGATCGGGCGGGGGGGTGTCTGTGGAGGTTGGAGTCTCAGGGAAGACGTAATGTCACTTCCAGGTGACACTCTAGGCTGCCTCTCCTGGACTCTATGACCTTTACCATAGAGACCAAAAGAGATTCCCAGAGTGCCACACATGGAGACAATATTTTCTTCCACTCCTCAATTCATCAAGGCAGGTAATTGAGGGTGGGTGCTGGTGTCCAGATCCCAGGTGTATAAATGGGAGAGCTATAGCTACATGGTGCCCAAATCCACTCAGTGAAGGGGAGGGCATAGAGTAAGGGTACTAAAGGGAATGTGGGTATCTCATGTATGCCAGGCAGTGGGAACCTGCAGCGCTCCTTTCCCTGAAGACAGGCCTGAAGGGTTTGGGACTGAGTAATGCTGTCTACAGCAGCCTAGCAATGGAAGGAAGGAAGCCCCATGCCAGGAGGACAGAAGTGCGCAGCGGCTGGTGCCCATGATGGGGGAGTTCACTTCTGGCATCCTCCAGTCCTGACCAACCGGCACAGGACAATGCCCAGAGGAGCGTGCAGCCAGCCGTGTGACAGTATAGTAAGGTGGCCTTGCTGTGTGTCCCCCCCCTCCCAGGATCTGTTCAGCAAATCAGATCCCTTTCTGGAGATCTACCGGATCAATGACGACGGCAGTGAGCAGCTGGTACACCGCACAGAGGTAAGACCCTCCGCCCAGTCCCCCTGGGATCTTTCCTGGCACCCACTAAGCCTACAACAGAAGGGAGGAAGAGGAAGCCAGCCAGGGGGCCTTGCTTTCACCGGTTCCGAGCAGGCGGGGGGGCGTGAAGGGGACGAGGCCCCTGGGTCACCCTCTGAGGGGGGAAATCACCCCCCACACACACACACACACTGCAAATAGGAGTCCCGGGTTGCTACGCAGGGGCAGATCTCCTCTGAAAGTCTCCTGCTGCGAAAACCCTGCAGGGCCGCCGGAAGCCGGCTGCAGCTGGAGCTGGACGGCCCTTCCCACCCCCACCCCCCGCAAGGCTCCTTGGAGAGGGCTTCTGGGCTTCCCAGAGGAGCCTGGCCAGCCACTGCGGGGAACCAGATGGGCTCTCTGGGTCCCAGTGCTTGCGAGGGCGCAGAAGGTGCAGTCCTTGGGGGCCTCTCCCATGACAGGGCCAGAGGTTGCCGGTGGTGGGGAAGTCCTTCCTCTGCCGGAGCCCCTGGAGAGACCCTGCTCCTCGGAGGGGAGGAGACGGAGGAGTCTGATGCCCCAAAGGATCCTCTCTGCACTCAGCAGCTTCAGGGGCTCGGGAGCCCAAATTGTTGGGTGTTACAAGCCAAAACACTTCAGTATTTACAGGGTTAATGCTGTTTGTTATGATCAACAGGAAGTCACATGTTTGTTTGTAGCCAATCTGTTTAGACAAGAGAATGCCCGGGAACTTTGGAGCTAACTTGCTAGTCTGATTGGAAACCAAGGTGTCAAGTATTTAGCATATTGGCTTCTCCTCCATGTTCTTTGTTCTGACTGAAGAAGGAGATTCCATTCCCATTCTACCTTTTAGCTGTAAGGATGTAGGCGTATTAGCTCTTTGTTATTTTCATATCCTGTGTACCTTTTCCCCATGTTAGGTTTATAGTAAACGCTTATATTTTAAACACACCATGGACTCAGTCTCTTAATACTTACTCTGCTGACTTACTTAATAAAAATCCCAGCAGAAATCCACACCTGTGCTTTTCTCTTGGTTGGTCGGAGGGACCGCAGCTCAGTGCTAGAGGAGGCATTCAGTGTTCCCTCTAAGCTGAGTGAGTGTGAGCTAGCTCACAGTTTTTCAGCCTCCAGCTCACAGATTTTTGTCTTAGCTCAGGCAGGATGGCTCCAGAGCAAACTAATTTATACAGTAGCCAAAACGCTCACTCTGAACCTTAATGCCAGTAGAATTTTTTGCTCACAAGACTCCACAGCTTAGAGGGAAGATTGGAGGCATTTACTCAAGTCCTCAGGTCCAAACTCCGGCATCTCCCGTAAAAGGATCTTGGGTAGCGGGAAAGACTCTTCCCTGCTCCAGACTTTGGAGAACTGATGGCTTAGGAGAGAGAATACTAAGTGAGACAGACCAAGGATCTGGCCATTTCCACAGGAGCTTTTTGCCCAGGATTTGATGCCGTTGGGAAGTGGGGGGGGGGGTTTCCTTGCCTCCCCCACAGCATCCTGGCACACTTGTGTACCTTCTGGGGGCTCCCTGGCTTTTCTCTGGTTTTTCTCAGCCCTGATTTGCTGCAGAGTTATAACGAAGATCACAGGAAAAGCCTGGATGGCTGCTGGGGGGGGGGGAGAGAGTTTGGATTTTCTCGCCCACAGGCCCAAATGGTGCTCAGGAAAGAATCTAAAAAGAATGATTGTGTAACCCCTACACACATATTTCGGGTGCAGCTTCGGGGAATCTTCCAGATTCTTTTTAGATCCGTTCCTGTATGTACACTGCTAAAGTGTATGGATCTAAAAAGAATCTGGAAGGTTCCCCCTGATGAAACGCGTAGGGGTTATACAAGCATTAAAGACTCTTTCCTTGGCTCCACTTGTCTTCTCACCTTCGGTTTTCCTATCGCTTCATCAGCCAGTCTTCCCCCCTACTGCTGGGGGGGGGGGTTGTTTTAAAAATTAGCAACTGAATGGTTCTCTGAATGACCAGCTTTCATTTTTTTTAAAAAAAAACTCTCTGGCCCCTTTTGTTACAGAGCTATAAGGGGAAAGGCAGATTTCCACAACAAAAGGAGCTAGACACTTTTTTTTTTTTTTAAGAAAGCTGGGAGTTCAGAGTGCTGATCCACACACTGTTATAATAATGTGCTATTAATATAACCGTATTCAATGGTCCATTTTTAAACACATTGACACGTCGCAGACAGTGTCCCCGGGGGAGTGGGATGGCTGCTGCCCGGGTCTGGGGCAAGCCTTCCATGTGAAGTGGAAGCCCCCTTGCTGCTGCCCTGTGTCGGCCACTGCACCAGCCACGGGGAAGCCACCCCAGCCAGTCGTGGGGCAGAAACTACCTCTGACCGGTTAAGGCAGCTGCAGAAGTTGGTGTTAGACAGTCAGAGGCCTTCACCTCCTGAGCAAGCCCCTTGGAACAACCCGCCCAAAGGAGTCACATGAGAGTCAAAGGACAAGACAAAACACTAGAAATCAAGATTACCAACCTCCAGGTGGGGCCTGGAGTTCTTCTGGAAATTACAACCGATCTCCGGAATACAGAGATCAGTTCCCCTGGAGAAAACGGCAAGCTCTCTAGGTGCTGAGGTCTTGCGTTGGATGCCTCACTTTCCATGGAGGCCCAAGTCAACGAACGTTGTCAGGTCAGCCTTCTACCACCTTCGGCTGTCCAGGCAGCTGGTTCCCTCCCTTTCTTCCCGTGACCTGGCCGTGTTGATCCATGTAATGGTCACCTCCAGGCTGGATTCCTGCAACTCACTCTACGCTGGGTTGCCCTTGACCCTGACCCGGAAACTCCAGCTGGGACAAAATGCGACGGCGTGCCTCCTGGCCGGGTCATCTCTGCAGATGCACATACAGCCAGTGCTGCGCCAGTTGCATTGGCTTCCAGTTGAGTACTGGATCAGGTTCAAGGTTATGGTATTGACCTTTAAAGCCCTCTGCAGTCTGGGGCCGTCATATCCGCAGGACCGGCTCACCCCATATGCTCCCTGGAGAGTCTTGCGCTCCTCGGAACAGCATCTTCTGGTGGTCCCCGGCCCCAAAGACACCCACTTAGCCTCAAGCAGGGCCAGATGGAACGCTCAAAAATCTTCCAGGTGAGATCGGGGCCCCGCAGGACTAATCACAGTTCTGCAGGGCCCGTAAAACAGAGCTGTTCCACCAGGCCTTGGGTTAAGGCTGCGGGTGTGTCCATTTAGATCAGACTTCTGTGATCCACAGCCGTAGGGCACCCGAGCAAGCCGGGGGTGTGGGGGGCTTGCCTGGGCTCTCGGGCAAGCCAAGGGAAGGCATGGGGGGGGTGTGGGGGCCAATATGCTAATGAGCTGTGCGGTCAGGGGTGTGGCCTAATATGCTAATGTGTTTCTGCTGTTGGGTGTGGCCTATTATGCTAATGAGTTCCTGCTGGGCTTTTTGTACAAAAAAAGCCCTGGTTGCTGTAGATTTTTTTCCAGGTTGTGTGGCTGTGGTCTTGGCATTGTAGAACCTGACGTTTCGCCAGTAACTGTGACTGGCATCCTCCATCTTTCTGTGTGATACCTCTGAGGATGCCAGTCACCGTTACTGGCGAAACGTCAGGTTCTACAATGCCAAGACCCACGGCCATACAACCCGGAAAATCTACAGCATTTAAATTAGCTTGCTGTCGTGTATTTTAAGGTGTTTTAATAGTTAATGTGAAGTTATATATGTTAATGGATTTTGACAGATTGTTTTATTTAGTTGTAACCTGCCCTGAGCCTGCTTGCAGGGGAGGGAGGGATAGAAATGGAAATAAATAAATATCGTATGCCCTCGATTCCAGGTAAGATCCCTCCCCAAACGACCCCTAACACAGGCACCGCCTCTACAAATCTCCAGGAATTTCCCAGGCTGGAGTTGGCAAACCCACTAGTGATGCCCTCTTTGGTTAATAGTTGCCCAGTCCAAGCCCAAACAGTCAGGCCTTTGGGAGGAAACCGTTCAGGCTCTGACTATGGCGAGCCTCCAGGGGAAGGGAGGGGGGAGCAGGTGTCGGGCAGCCCCAGGAGAAGTCTCTTGTGGCTTTGAGCCAAGCCCCCTTTTCCTGCCTGTCTTTCTTTCGCAGTTTGTCAAGAACAATCTGAGCCCTATTTGGGAGCCCTTCAAAGTGTCTCTGAACTCCCTGTGCAGCTGTGAGGAGAAACGGAAGCTGCGGGTAAGTGCAGTGGGGTGGGGGGAGGGCCCTGCTGGCGCTTGCAGCTGGCTAATGCACTGCTGGCCCTGCTGGTGGACCTCCTGGTGGCCCCTGGCTTTTGGCCACCATCTGACGCAGAGTGTTGGACTGGTTGGGGCCATTGGCCTGGTCCAACATGGCTTCTCTGATGTTCGTAAGACGAGGAGCCCCTTGACTGGGTGGGTGGCGTCCAGTGTAACCTTATATGAAATTTAACATCAAATAAAGCCCCAAAATATTTCATATATGGTCTACACATTTCATATATGGTCTACACTACACTACACCATTTCCTTAAATTGTTCTAAGTCCAGTGTAACCTGCCTTCTCTCTGTGTGCCCTGCAGTGTGTAGTCTTTGACTACGACTCCCGAGGCAAGCATGACTTCATTGGAGAGTTTTATACCACCTTTGAGGAGATGCAGAAAGCCATGGGGGGCAACAAGGTTGGTGTGAGCCTGCGAGGAGGGAAGGAGGGAGGGAGGGAGGGAGGGGCCGACGGCACAGCCCCACCTGTGGGTGGAACGGGTCCTCCCCGCCGGCTCCTTCCTTCCCTCGCTCTTTGGTACGTCCTGCAGAACGGGTACATGTTCTCACAAATGACTGTTTGGTGTGCAAGCCTGGGGACGCAGTTAGGGTTGCCAGCTTCCAGGCGGGGGTCAGGAGTTCTGCCAGGATTACACCTCATCTCCACACTACAGAGATCAATTCCCCCATAGGAAACGTCAGCTCCAGAAGGCCGGCTCTATCACGGCATCATATCCGCATAGGGTTGCCAGGTCCGTGTTGGAAAACACCTGGAGACGTTGGGGGTGGAGCCGGGAGAGGGCGGGGTTTGGGGAGGGGAGGGGCCTCCGCAGGGTGCAATGCCCTAGAGTCCAACCTTCCAAGCAGCCATTTTTCTCCAGGGGAGCTGATCTCTGTCAGCTGGAGATCAGCTGTGAAAGCAGGAGATCCCCAGGCCCCACCTGGAGGCTGGCAACCCTACATCTGCACTGAGTTCCTTCCCTTCCTCAAGTCCTGCCCTCCTCGGGCACTGCCTCCAAATCTCCAGGAATTTCCCAACCTGGAGCTGGCAACCCGAGCTGGGACTGCACAGGCAAGGTTTCCCTGCAGCCGGGGCAGCCCTGGCCTCAGCCCCCCCCCCCCAAGGGCCCTGGCTGCATCTGTTCCAGTGTGGCGCTTGCCCTTGGAACCCCAGGCGGGCGAAGGTGCTCGCACACCCCTCCAGGGGGCCTCCTTCCGCAGTGGGGCCTCCCCACTCACGCTCGGTCTCCCCTCCTGCCCCCGAACCAGATCCAGTGGGACTGCATGAACCCCAAGTACAAGCTGAAGAAGCGAAACTACAGGAATTCAGGTGTGGTCATTCTCTTAGATCTGAAGGTGAGCAGGGGTGCCCTGCGGGGCAGGCTTTTTGCCCTGGGGGGAGGGTCCTGGAGGGGGGGGGAGAGATGTCTTTGCAGCCCAGAACAAAAAGGGGTTGGTCCCCGTCGTCGTTCTGATATCCCCTCTGGCTCAGGCCCATAGCCAGGGGTCATTGCGTAGAAAAAGAGGTGCAGGAGCTCATTAGCATACCTTATTAGCATAACTTACTTGCATATGCCACACCCCCTGACATCGCCGGGAGTGTGTCAGAAGGCAACACCCACCGCTCAGCCTCCACTGGACTGTTTTGGATTGCTAGCTATTGGGGGGGGGGGGTACGTGCAGATCTGTCCTCACAGAGGAGGGAGAGCTTGTACCAGAAGATGGGCCAGGGGGGCCTCTGGAACTTACCTGGCTGCTTCTTGTTCCTCGTGGCCCAACTGAGGGCTGCTGGGAGCAGGGGGTGGGGCTTGTTGCATGTGCCCACCCCCTGGACTCCTTACTGCCGGAGCTCCGCTCCTGTGCGCACCCGCAGGAAATGACCCCTGCCCGTAGCTAGGATTTTTAATTTGGGGGGGGGATTTAAATAGGTCAGAGGGCACCTCGCACACACCCCTGTACACCCCCCCCCAAGACAGCGCCTGGGTTGGATGGGAAGTTGGGGGGCCTTGGCAGTAAGTCAGGGGGCCAGGCCCTGAGATGCCCCACTCTGGCTGCAGCAGAGTTGAGCACGTTAGTTCCTCTGAGCCCTGCCCCTTTGGTGCTTGCCCACCTCCTAGGCACCTGTTGGGTCACTGAGCTGTGAACATGGCCAGGGCCTTTGTTCCCTGCTGTCTCCGCACGCACGCACATGTACACATGCCCCGGGTACCCAGCCTCAGCCAGCTGGCCGTGCCTGGAGGAGGACTGGCGGATGCCAGCTGGGCCCGCCCATAGAACTGGCTAACACATTGTTTGTCTGGAAGATCCATAGGGTCTACTCGTTCCTGGATTACATCATGGGTGGCTGCCAGATCCACTTCACGGTGAGTAGCGGTGCCCACCTCCCCCGTGGGTGACAAGCCCTTCACCAGGCGCCAGCCCCCGAAGCCAGCAGCGAGTCCTTGAGAGCCAATTCTTCCTCCCCGGTTGGAAGAGGCTCTTGACCCGCGGATCCTCCCTGTCTCCCACTCTCAGCGCTGGCCGAGAGCCAGCCCGGCTCCCTTCCCTCCTCGGAATTGTACCCTCCCTGTGCTGCGGCAGCTTCGCACAGATTTCTCCCTTGAAAACAACCGGCGCCCAGATTGCGTTTTGAAAGAGCATCTCCTTCCTGGCGTGAGTCAGATCCCAGAACATTCAGGGAACAGCTTGCCGCTTCCAGGCCTTTCTGCTCGCTGAGACGCCAGGCTGGGAGCCGTCCCAGGAGCAAGGGGCCCCCAACCACCAGTCTTCCCTCTAAGCTGAGTGAGTGTGAGCCAGCTCACAGTTCTTTAGCCTCTGGCTCACACATTTCTGCCTTCGCTCAGGAAGGAGGGCTCCAGAGCAAACTAATTTATGCAGGAGCCAAATCGCTCGCTCACAGCTTTAATGCCAGTAGCTCCCAAAGTCACATTTTTGCTCGCAAGACTCCACAGCTTAAAGGGAACATTGCCAACCACCCTCACGCTGGCTGGGAGGCGCCCAGGCCGGTTGCTGGGTGGCCTCTTGGCCAGGAGGGGACTGGGCAGAGACGGAGGGCCCCGTGGCACAAGGTGCTGCCGTTGGGTGCTGCTCAAAGGCCACATGCCGGAAGATGGTGGGCCACCTCCCTTTGGATATCCCTGGCATCCTTTCAAGAAGTCTCAGTGGGTGCCAAGATGCCTCCAGCTACTTCACCACAGGGGAGGAATAGAACAGGGAGGCTGGCTGCCTGCTCTTGCCAGCTCACGGGTCCTTTCGCAGGGCTAAACCGCCAAATGGTTTGCTTGGCTACCTGCCAGAGGGGCCGCGTGGGCTCCTTCAAGCCCTCCCGGGATGCTGCTCTGCAGATACGGCCTGGATTGCAGTTGGAGGGGGTGTCAGGATTCTAAGGAGCCTTGGTGGATGCGAAGAGTACCGCCCCTCTTTGCAGGATCCCGGAGCAAGGAGCGGCGATAGTGCCGAACTTTAGCCAAGGAGGCCTGAGTTCCAGTCCCTCCCAGCTATGGACCTCTGCAACTGCTCTTTGGCCAGCCACTCTCCCTCTTCTGAGAGGGAAATGCAGGAAGGGAGGGGTACACGGGGGCAGCGGATCACCTGGCTATGCTCCTGGGTTTGGATGGATTTCCTCCTCCGAGGCCCAACGTCTGGGGCTGTCCAAACTGTTGCTCTCATTTAATTCATGCGCTTCAGCTGCCGTTCCCACCGCAAGTGAAGAGGAAAACGGGCAGATGAGGCCCTTTGCAAGAAGGGAAGCAGCGAGGGCGGGGACGGTGGGGACGGATGAGGAGAGCCGCGGGTAGACCTCACCTCCGTGGGCCTGGGGAACGCTGCTCCTCCCTGGCAGTCACGGAGAGGGAGAGGGGAGCGTCTGTGTCTCTCTGCCGCCTTTCCCTCCTATGCCAGGATCCTTTAAGCCAGAAGCTCTTTCAAAATGTGGGTCCCGCACCCAAAAGAGGTCCCCAGTTTTCGCAGGTCGCTGGGCCGTGGGATTCAGACTCCGAAGCGGGAAGAGGAGTCTCCGGGGGGGGGCTCCTCTCCCTGTGCTGTGCTGTGCTGAAGGGGCCCTTCTAGGCCTTTGTTCCCTCCTCAGGTGGCCATCGACTTCACAGCCTCCAACGGGGACCCCCGAAACAGCTGCTCCCTCCACTACATCAATCCTTACCAGCCCAACGAATACCTGAAGGCCCTGGTTGCCGTGGGGGAGATTTGCCAGGACTACGACAGGTGAGTGAGAGGGTTGACATCCCTAGAGGTCTGGGGGTGGAGCCTGGGGAGGGGAGGGGCCTCAGCAGACTCCACCCTCCAAGGCAGCCATATTCTCCGGGGGAACTGATCTCTGACGTCTGAAGACCAGTTGTAATTCTGGGAGATCTCCGGGCCCCACCTGGAGAGAGCGGCAAACCTGTGGGCCACTGAGACCCTCCGCCCCCATACCTCTGGTTCTCAAGCCCCCGGGGCTGGCGGAGGGCCAGGGCCAGAGACATCCTGGGGGCTGGCCTTGGGTGGAGAGGGGGCCCCTTGCGCTCTCCACCACTCGTCTGGCTTGGCAGTGGCGCACGGAATACACTGTAAACTCTGGTCTCAATGGCTTTCTGGAGGCCCCGCCGCAAGGCGGTGGTGTGCACTTGAAATGCACGGCTGCAGCCGGCTCCCCCACCCACCCCCTTCCACTTTGCTCATGAGCCCAGCCCTGGATTCCCACCCGGAACTCTGGCCCTTCAGCGCTGCTCTTGCTTGGCAGGGCGGCGGAGGAGGCTGGGCCCTACAGAGGTTGCTCAGGGCACGCAGTCCCAGCAGGCACTCGGGAGGGAGCTCATTTGGGCAGCCCCAGGGAGGCTCAGCCCCCCCCCCCAGGCTTGGGGCGAGCCCTTCTAGGGTTGCCGGATCCAGGTTGGGACCGATGCTCCCTCTAAGCTGTGGAGTCTTGGTGAGCAAAAATTCCACTTTGTGAGCCACTGGCATTAAAGTTGCGAGCAGGTGATTTGGCTGCTGCATAAATCAGTTTTCTCTGGAGCCCTCCTTCCTGAGCGAAGGCAAAAATGTGTGAGCCAGAGGCTAAAAAACTGATCCATCTCACACTAACTCAGCTTAGAGGGAACACTGGTCCAATGCTCCCTCTAAGCTGAGTCTTGTGAGCAAAAATTCCACTTTGTGAGCCACTGGCATTAAAGTTGCGAGCAGGTGATTTGGCTGAGCTGAGACAAAAATGTGTGAGCCGGAGGCTAAGAAACTGTGAGCCAGCTCACACTCACTCAGCTTAGAGGGAACACTGGTTGGACATTCCTGGAGACTGGGGGGGGGCAGGGCTTGAGGAGGGCAGGGTTTGGGGAGGGGGAGGATTTCAGCAGGTTCCAATGCCATAGAGACCAGCTTTCCAAGCCGCCATTTCCTCCAGGGGAACTCTCTCTGTCACCTGGACATTGGCTGGAATTCTAGGAGGTCTCCAGACCCCACCTGGAGGCTGGCAACCCTAGTTCCCTTCCCACCCCGCTCACGTGGCAGGTTGAGAAAGCAGCCAATGATCCCCATTGGGCACAGGGTTGCCAGCCTCCAGGTGGGGCCTGGAGACCTCCTAGAATTCCAGCCGATGTCCAGGTGACAGAGATCAGTTCCCCTGGAGGAAATGGCGGCTTGGGAAGCTGGACTCTATGGCATTATACCCCAGGGGGTCCCTCCCCAGGCTCCACCCCCCAAATCCCCAGAAAAATTCCCCAGCCATGAGTTGGCGACCCTAGGACTTGCCCCTGCCCTGCACCTCTGACTGGGTGGGGCCAGACTACCAAGCACACTGCAAGTTCCGGGCAGAGAACTCGACTCCCAGGAATGCAGGGGAGGGGGAGCGGATTCAGATGAGGACCACCGTGCTTGGGGTGGGGGCTGAGTGCCCGGAGGGGTGTGGTTTAAACTGGTGCCACCAGAAATGGGTCTCCAGCATGCCTGCTGATCTTGATCCCTGCCTCCCTACAGTGATAAGAAGTTCTCGGCCTTAGGCTTTGGCGCCAGGATCCCCCCAAACTACAAGGTCAGTCCGGGATGGCACAGAAATGGGGTGAGGGGAGGGGAGGGGCTGGTGAAACGGGGGGGGGGCTGTGGTGACCAGGGTGGGTGGGCTATTTAATGTGCATATGTAGGGACAAAGTCTAACACGCACACACACACACACACCCCTGGTGATGTTGTCTTGATTTGACCCCGTCCTTTGTGTTTGCTCCTCCCCTGGTCCCGGCCCAGGCAGCCACCGAAGGCTGCTGCCAGTTATTGGCTCCTATCTCCCCCCCCCCCAGCTTGCCCCATGCTTCCCCCTCTGCCTCTGTGCCTACAGCTGAGGATCTCTCAGAGTAACCAACAGCTCTGAATGCTGCAGCGCAAGCAGCCTGTGCTTCCCCCACACACACATTCTGCATCAGGAAATGCTCCCCTTCCCTCGCTTTCTGGGAAGTTGGGACTTGGAGGACCCCCCCCCCTTCCAGGTGGCTCCTGCTACTATAGACTACCAGGACTGGAGTGGGGAGGGCTGCCCAGTGTCCTTCTAGCCAGAGCAGAGCTGGAGCAGGAGAGAAATCTGGAAATCTGGAGATCACCGGAAACCAGAAAAGCCAAGCGTGGGGATGCGGCACGCCTGAGGCGGCTGCCAGCCCTTCGTCTTTAGCACGATTTCCCAGAGCCTTTGTCAAGCCAGCCCGCGGCTTTGAAACACACAAAGCCACAAAGCGAAGACAAAAGCATGCCTTTGGGCATGGGCAGACGGCCTTTTCCTTGCCCCTGCCCGCCTCCACACTGAGGGTGCTGGGCTGCATCTCAATAGGAGGGTGCAGCCGCAAGGCAGGTTTGAGCCCCAGCGCCTCCCGCTGTTGTATCAATTGCCCTGTCCCTGTTGAGCACTCCTGAACTCAGACTCTGGGGCTATCGCAGAGAAGCCCCTGTCTTGCCGCCACAGGAAAGATCACCGGATGTCTTCTTGTCTTTCTGGCCAGGTCTCCCACGATTTTGCCATTAATTTCAACCCGGCGGATGACGAGTGTGAAGGTAAGGAGGAACTGAGCAGGGTTGCTGCAGAGTCTTCCCTCCCTGCTGCCCCCGCCCAGCCAGTCTTCCATCCCAGACATGACAGCAGCCCCCCGCCCCACACGCATCACTCCAGCCTCTGGGTGCTGCAGGGCTTCTGTTCCCTCCCCACAGTCTCACTCCCTTGCTTGGAGCAGAGCCAGATGCAAAGATCGCTGCTGGTTCCAAGACAGAATCAGATGAATACATGAAGGGCAGTTTCTATTGAGAGTAGGAGGAATGATGTGCCCCCCCCCCCATTAAGAACCTCAGAAGAGCCCTGCTGGATCAGACCAGTGAAGGTCCATCTAGTCCAGCATCCTGTCTCACACAGGGGCCAACCACTATGCCAGTTTGGTTTAGTGGTTAAGTGCGTGGACTCTAATCTGGGAGAACTGGGTTTGATTCCCCACTCCTCCACTTGCCCCTGGCTGGATGACCTTGGGCAAGCTGTAGTTCTGATAAGAGCTGTTCTTGAAAAAGAGCCGTTTCTGTCAGAGCTCTCTCAGCCCCACCTACCTCACAGGGTGTCTGTTGTGGGGAGGGGAAGGGGAAGGACTTTGTAAGTCGTTCTGAGACACCTTTGGGCAGTGAAGGGCGGGGTATAAATCCAATCTCTACTTCTTCTTCTTCTTCTCTGGAGGGCCAACAACAGGGCAGAGAGGCCTAGGCCTTCCCCTGATAAGGGTACAACAATGAAAAGGGGGGGCAGCAGTATGACACAAGTACAAAATACACAATACTGCAAAAGTGCATGCAATAACAATGAATGGAAAGAATAAGTTGACTCTTAAGGCAACTTCAAGCTGTTTTAATCTTTCTGTTTTTCAGCAAAACATTGTCATTGTTATTGCATGCACTTTTGCAGTATTGTATATTTTGTACTTGTGTCATACTGCTGCCCCCCCCCTTTTCATTGTCGTCCTCCTATCCCAGCAGATGTGTGAGTACAGAAGCTGATCTGGGTCCAGTGATATACAGAGTTCACAATATATACCGGAGGGCTTTTTGCCCTTTAATGTAGTCAGCTGTTTAAATAGTTTTTTTGGCTAAGAACTTACAGTTGTGATTTTGAACTTGGGAAAATAGAATCGTACTGGGCCAGTCCTCTGGAGGGCCAGCAACAGGGCAGAGAGGCTGAGGCCTTCCCCTGATGCTGCTTCCTGGCTCTGGGAGTCAGAGGTTGCGTGCTTCTAAACGTGGAAGTTCCCTCTGTGTTCAGAGGCACTATACCTCTGAATCTTAGTGCCTGCAGGCAACATCAGGGGAAGTTCTCGACCTCTGTGCCCTGTCGTGGTTCCCTTCAGTCACCCTCTCCTCCATGAATCCAATTCATATTGGGGCTTCTCTCTTTCTGCTGGGGCAGTGCAGTCTGGGCGCAGTGCTGGAGGCTGCCTGATTCAAGTGCCCCATTGTGGAAACCGCTTTGCTCATGTCCTTCCCTCGCCTGACCCTTTCCGTCCCCTTGCTAGGAATCCAGGGCGTGGTGGAATCCTATCAAAACTGCTTGCCCCAAATCCAGCTGTACGGGCCCACCAACGTGGCCCCCATTATCTCCAAAGTGGCCAAAGTAGCGGCAGAGGAGGAGAAGACCAAGGAGGCATCGGTGAGTGAGCCGGGGGGCAGGGAGAGGTAGGCGAGCGACTCTCCCCTCCTCCGTTCTGCAGTGTGTCTCCCACGAAGGGTCCAAGGAAGACCTGGCCGAGTTTCTCTCCCTTGTCCCCGCTTGATGGCAAACTGCCGTGGGGGGGGGGGCTGTCCTCAGAACCTCGGGATGCGTGCCTCTGCTGGACCAAATAAGGGGACTTCAATTAAAACCCCCTTCCATTATTTACGCAGACCAGGCGCTTGGGGGTTGCGGGACGTGCCAGGTTTTCCTTCTTCTGGGATCTCGTCAACTCTCTGCTCATTAAGCGGCTGAAAGCTTTGCTAGTGCCGGGCCTTGGAAGTAAATGACAGAGCATCTAATCTAATGTGTTGCTGCAAGTCAGAGATGCCGGTGGGGGTCCGGTGGCGTGCCGGGGACTTGTGTGCCCTGCCTTGGGTTGAGTTAGGCATCTGCGTCCAGGGAGCAAGAGACAAGGGGGGGGGAGGCTGAGGGGTGACGATGGAGTAGAGGGGTAGGGCTTTTGTCGGTACCCTGAAAACTGTGTGTCCTCCGGATCTTTGGGTTGTGTGGCCGTGCTGCTTGCAACGGCGTGTGCGGTGTTCAGGGGAAGGTTATGGCCCTTTGCAGCATTGCTTATCAGTTGTTAGAGAAACTGCTCCCTCTCTGAATGACTACATTGCTTTCATTTGTTTTTAAACTGTTGGAAATGTTTGGGTTGTGTGTTTCACCATTTTTTTGTTCATCGCTCAGAGCCCTGAGTACTCAGGGACTGAGCGATTTACAAATAAATAATAAAACAATTATATATTCGGGGAGCCTGCTGTTCTCTGTGGCTGCTGGGGCTCTTGAGTGAACAGCTCCGAGAGAACTTGTAACTGATGCAAGGTCATCCAGCAGCTGCGTGTGGAGGCGTGGGGAATCAAACCCGGTTCTCCCAGATTAGAGTCCCTCCTCCTAACCACTGCACCAAACTGGCACTCCGCAGGCGTGGCTGGGATTGGGGAGCCGGCAGCCTCCATGTGCAGCAGACAGAGCGATGCATGGAGAAGGGACAGATGTTTGGAGGGCAAGGACGTGGCCCTTGGAGGTGCAGTGTCCCACATGCCCTGAGACGCTCCTGGAGACCCTAGTCCAGTGGTGGCGAACCTATGACATGGGTGCCAGAGGTGGCACTCAGAGCCCTCTCTGTGGGCACATGTGCCATCGCTCCAGCCAGGCCCAGACCATCATTAAAGTGTTGAATTCTCTGCCAAATAATTTTAAGTAAATGAAAGCATTTGGGATTGCTTTCCTTACTTTGTTTGGATCATCTTACATTAATGTATGAGTTGTTTTTTCTAAAGTAAAACCTCAGGATTCAGGTTAAATTACGTGTTGGCACTTTGCAATAAATAAGTGGGTTTTGGGTCGCAGTTTGGGCACTCGCTCTCTAAAAGGTTCGCCATCACTGCCCTCGTCTGACCCCTCTTCCCCACCACGTGTCTCTGCAGCAATACTTCATCCTGCTGATCCTGACTGACGGGGTGGTGACCGACATGGCGGACACGCGAGAGGCCATCGTCCGGGCCTCCTACTTGCCCATGTCGATCATCATCGTGGGCGTGGGCAACGCTGACTTCACCGACATGCAGATCTTGGACGGGGATGACGGCATCCTGCGCTCCCCAAAGGGCGAGCCCGTCCTGCGGGACATTGTCCAGTTTGTCCCCTTCCGGGAGTTCAAGAACGTAAGTTGCCCCGCGGTTCCGGGATCCTCCTAGCCGGCTTTCCCATCCCCGAGGGGCGGGCTTGTGCCAGCTCCTTTCCTACAGGAAACACCGAGGACCCAGGAGTCCGCCATGCACCCCACAGCACACGCCCGTGCCCACGCTCCTCACGTCCGAGCCTGGCCCTCATCTGCCAGGTAGGAGCTGCAGTTCCTGTCGAATGGTACTCCAGCCAGCATTGTACAGGGCCCCCCACACTGGCCATTGCCTCAGTGCCTCCTAGCGGCATTTCCTCCCCCTTAGACAAGCCAACAAACCCCCCCCCCTCAGTTTTTTCAGTCTGGTAGAGGATAAAAGAGCAGATGCATGCTAGCTGTATCTGAAGAAGTGAGCCCTGACTCACGAAAGCGCATCCCCCTGCCATGAATGTTGTGAGTTTTTAAGGTGCTGCTGAGGAGCTGTGGTGGCTCAAGTGGTTAAGACGCTGAACTGCAGGCTGTGGAAGGTCAGTAGTTCAGCAGTTCGAGACCCAAGTGTGCCGCATGACGGAGTGAGCTCCCGTCTCTAGTTCCAGCTCCTGCCAACCTAGCAGTTCAAAAGCAAGACATTGCAAGTAGATAAATAGGGACCACTTCCGTGGGAAGGTAATAGCGTTCCGTGCGCCTTGGTGTTTAGTCATGCCGGCCACATGACCACGGAAACGTCTCCAGACAGCGCTGGATCTTTGGCTTGGAAATGGAGATGAGCACCGCAACCCTAGAGTCGGATTCGACTGGCTTTCGAGCAAGGGAACCTTTACCTTTAAGGTGCTGCTGGACTCTTCTTCTTTTCTACTGCTACAGACAGACTCACACGGCGGCCCGTCTTGATCTGCACTTGGTGGCGTTTCCCTGGGCTTCTCTCTTGGCTGTCTGTAGGGTGGCACGATTTATCTCCGTTTCATTGTGCTTCTCCACCTCCTGGTTAACGGCCTTGAACCCCCAGAGAAAGGCAGGCCATAAATATTTCAGTCAGTCAATACCGAGAGGGGGAAATAAGTCCTGCCCTCTGGAGACCTCTGTTTTCTCCTCAGACAGCCCGGCTACAGAGGGGGCCGGCTGGGGCTCAGCCCCAAAGGGAGGGGGCACTCGAGTCCAACCAAACTCTCTGGGCTGAACTGATGGCCCTCATCCCAGGGCCGGCCGTTGGGGTGGGCTGCTTGGGATGTTCAGGGGGTGCAAGCTGAAGTGTGGGGAGGGGGCTTGAGGCTGGCGCTGCTGGCGCTACCACACAGGCGTCCAGAGACAGGTGGGCAGATCCCGGGCTGACCTCCTGGCACAGTGGCCTTGCCCTCTAAGGGACCAGTCCAGGCTACAGGCTTAGGGGCTTGGTGGCATGTGGGCTCCTCTCCCCGTGGGGTTGCCAGCCAGCCTCCAGTGGTGGCTGGAGATTTCCTGGGATCAAACTGATCTTCAGGTGACAGAGATCACTTCCCCTGGAGAAAATGCCCACTTTGGAAGGTAGACTCTAGGGCATCAGACCGCACCGAAGTCCCTCCCCACCTCAAACCCCACCCTCCTCGGGCACCACCCCCCACATCTCCAGCTCCCACGACCAGTCCGATGTTCCCTCTAAGCTGAGTGAGTGTGAGCTAGCTCACAGTTTTTTAGCCTCCGGCTCACACATTTTTGTCTCAGCTCAGGAAGGAGGGCTCCAGAGGAAACTAATTGATGCAGCAGTCAAATCTCTCGCTCACAACTTCAATGCCAGGAGCTCACAAAAGTAGGATTTTTGCTCGCAAGACTCCACAGCTTAGAGGGATGGCCGGGCAAGAGCCAGACCAGAGCAGAGCTGGAGGTCCCGACTGTGAAACTGAGTTTCCAGGTGGATCCAGGTGGGGCAGCCGAGTTGCTCTGAAGCGGCAGAACAAATTTAGAGTCCCGTCAGGCCCCTTGAAGACCAACCAAGGTTTATCCAAGGCATGAGCTTTCGTGTGTGAGGCACACTTCTTCAGATACCCTGGAACGGTAGATGAGGTGAGTTTCCAGGTGTGCAGGGGTCCAATTCAGATTGGGGCTATAATGCTTATTAGGCCTCCCCTTCCTGCCGCTGCCATGGCGCAGAGGGGCCCAGAGGTACCACTCTGTATTCTCCTGGGTGTGAAGCTTCAAGAGGACAGGGGCCGGGGATGGGGCCGGCCCCTTGGGAGGGGGGTTCTCTTACTTTATTTATTTATTTATCTTTGGATTTATATCCCGCCCTCTGTTTCCCACACATCAGGAAGTGAAACCCACCCCCCCTTTGGGTATTTCTGGCAGCCAGGGGAGGCAGGAGGCGGGTGGTGGTCACCGCAGAGGTCTAATTGGGTTTGATTGTCAGTAATTCCGGCCCCTGGAGACCAGCTGTCTCTGCCTCAGCCTCCGAGTGGCAGGAAGCAGGATTAACCCCTTTGGCCCTGGCGCCAGGAGGGACAGGAGCTGGGAGTGGAGGCTGGGGTCCTAGACAATCCCTCCCTGTGGGAAGAAGACGGAGGGAGGGAGGGAGGGATTCGGTCCCTCCTTCGCAGTTCAGCCTCTCCTCTCGGCTATACTCCCACCCTCGAGAAGGAGGAGAAGAGAAGGACACAAACCGCTTGCTCGGATTCCCTCACTGGGCAGAAAGGCAGGGCAGGCAGGCAGGAAACCAACACAGGCAGTGCCAGAATCAGGGGCGCTTCGCAAGGACTCTCTCACAGAGCTCCCTGAAGGAGTGGCTTTTGGCAGCTCTGGCTTGCGAGTGGCGGCAGGGGGAAGTGGGTTTCTGTGTGGGGGGGGTGGAATCTTTCTCCCTGGATCTGGAGAAATCTCCCCGAATGGGCCCTGCCTCCTCCGTCATAAGAGGAAGACACTTATTGCCTGCTCAGGCCTTTGCAACTGACCCCGTATTTGTCGGGGACACACTTTGGCCTTCAAAGATTGCCTGTGGCAGAGGTCCGGCTCAAAGGAAACCCCTGCCTTGGGGCTGCCGAGGTCCAGGGAGGTCCCAACTGCCCACCCTTCTCTCCTGAAACAGGGACAGCTCTCATGTGTGTGTGTCTGGGGGGGGGGCTGAGGATGACTTGGAGCTGGGTATGAAGAAGAAGACAAAGACCAAGAGTCAGTGTTCCTCTAAGCTGAGTTACTGTGAGCTAGCTCACGGTTTCTTAGCCTCCGGCTCATACATTTTTGTCTTCGCTCAGGAGGGATGGCTCCAGAGCAAACTAATGGATGCAGCAGCCCAATCGCTCGTTCACAACTTTAATGCCAGCAGCTCACAAAGTAGGATTTTTGCTCACAAGACTCCGCAGCTTAGAGGGACCCCTGCCCAGAGTAGGTCTTTATACCCCGCTTTTTGCTAATGGAAGGGGTCTCAGAGTGGCTCGCAATCGAGACAGGCCCCTTGTGAGGTAGGTGGGGCTGAGGAAGCTCTGAGAGAGAACCGTGACTGCCCCAAGGCCACCCAGCAGGCTTCAGGTGGAGGAGGAGTGGGGAATCGAACCCAGTTCTCCAGATTAGAGTCCGCCCTCTCTCAACCACTACACCACAGCTGGCTCTCACCATGCTGGCCCCTCCCATGGAGGTGAGGTGGGGGATAGCTTGAGACGGGGCTCTCTCGGTGGTGGCCCCTCACCTCTGGAATGGCGTCCCCCCCCCTTGGGGCTCTCCTGGGCCCTGCTCAGCTGTCATGTAAGTGCCAGGCGGAAACATTTCTGTTTGCTCAGGCTTTTAACTGAAGCTTCATCCCACGCTTTTCAGCCGGCTGTCATCTTCTGATGGCCTGGATCCCGCCTGATTCTTTTTTATGTTGCGTTTACGGCCGTTTTCCTTTGTTCCGTGGTTTCATCCGGATTCAGACTAGCTTTTGCCTTTTTTTTTAATTGTTCACCTTCTCAAGCCGGTGCCTGGAAACCTTAAACGACATAAACCAAGACAAATTCCAGGACCCCAGATGGAGAAAGGGTTAGGGTTAGGGAAAGGCCCCCTGGGGAGGGGAGAGAGTGTTGGGTATTACATGTTAAAAACACTCAGTATATATGGGGTTAAATGTTTGTTTGTGTTGTCACAGGAAGTCACATGTGTTTCATTTAGCCAATGCTTGTTAGATGCTAGGAGCCCCGGAAAATTCTTCCTGATCTAGTAGTCTCATTGGAAGCAAAGTGTCAAAGTGTTTTAGCATTTTATGGCTTCTCTTCTAGTCTAGTCGTTGTAGTGTGAAGATGTAGCTATTTAGCTCTGTTGTTATTTTCATCCCAGTTACCCTTCCCTATGCTAGAATGTAGTAAAAACTTTCTATTTCATGGACTCTGGCATTTTACACACATTTTACTCTGGCATTGCTGAGCTATTTTATCTCTGCTGAATACCAAGTTTTATTTTTCCAAAACCCTAACAGAGAGAGACCCACTGACCCTAACCCGCCCCGCCCACCCTTGTCTTGTCTTGCAGGCATCTCCTACGGCTTTGGCCAAGTGTGTCCTGGCGGAGGTGCCCAAGCAGGTGGTGGAATATTACAGCTACAAGGCCCTCCCCCCTCGCTGCGGCCGGGGGACCACGCCGGACTCCACCCTGAACTCGCCCCAGTGACGGGGGCCCCGGCTCCGGGCACGCTGTCTGTCTTCCCCTCCGTCTGCCAGATCGTTCCCCCCTTGAAGTAAGGAGAGAGAATGCACCGAGCCCACGGCTAGAAATGCAGGGCCAGTGGGGAAAGGAATGGCCCCTCCCGGGACAACCTACGGCCCACCCCAGAGGAGATCCCCCTGCAGAGCAGGGCTGCGTGGCCATTCGTGCACACCCCTGTGTCTTTCACGTGTCCCTTCTCCGTGGCTCCAGACCCCAGAGCTGGCCGGCAGGGAGGGAGGGAGTCCCAAGGTGCCCGTCCTTCCCGGGACAATGGGGTGCCACCCCTACCTGCCCAAGCACAGGGGTGTGGGAGTCTTTCCCCGTGAGACGAATCCCAGTGGCTCCTAGGTGGGAGATGGCCAAGAGACACACACACCCCACACACCCGGCCTGCTTGGATCTCAGGCAGAGATGGTAGATGTCGGGCAGGGCCGAGCAGGACTGGACAGTCAGCCGCACACTCTGAGGGCTTCCGGTGGTTCTGGTCCTGTTCCCTGGCCCCTGGGCAGCGGAGCCAAGATGCCTGGGAAGAGTCGAGAATGGAGAGACCTTGCAAACCTCCTTTCCTTCAGGGGGGGGGCTGGTAGGAAGAGGAGGGGTGGAATGATGGAAGGTGGGGAAGGAGGAGGCACCGCCGCAAGGGAAGGGGTGGGGGTTCGAAGGTGGCACCGCCCATAGCGCAGGATCCCAGCCCCACCCAGCAAGCATGCCCAGGACCTTTGCTGGTACAGCTTGTTGCCAGGACTGTGCCAAGTGCCCCCTGATCTGCTGGAGAGGGGAGGGGACCGGAGGGGGCTTGCAGCACACCCCGCCAGCCATGCCTTTGCCCTGGGAAAGATTCCCAGTCCTCTCTGATCCTCACAAGCGACCCTCTGGAGTCCCACACCAGGTTCCCTCGCTGTGCGGAACAGCAAAGGGGAGGCAGAGCTCCTGGCTGGGCTGCCTGGCCAAGCTGGTGGCTCAAGAGGACCCCGCTTTTTCCGCTCTCCCACCCCCGTGCATGAAGCTCGCTGGACTCCCGGGGGGGGGCATCGTGTCTGCCCCCACCTCTTCCTCCTCCGTGTGGTCCGTGGCCTCTTTTCACTGTGACCGTCGTCGTTTGCCTAAGGTTTGCATGACAAATCTACTGTTCTTGATGTACTAAGAGAGGCGGCCAAATAAAGGAGATTTATGTTTCTCCCTGGGCTTTGTCCCTTCTTGGTGGGGCAGGCTGAGTTTTGCCGTGCAGGAAACGTTGAAGAACTGCTGTGAGCTGGGGGCCAGTTCCCATGATGGAAGTGCACGTGCAGCACCAGGGCTCACCAATGATGCGATGCCGGGGCGCTCCTCTGGAGGGGGTCCTCCCAGGGCAAGCTGCCTGTCGGGATGAAGGCATTCAGCATCCACCACGTGTGGGGTCTTTTATCCTGTGAAGATCCGGGGATTATGCTAATTCCGCCAGCTGCAGCCTGCTAAAGGATTCAAGGAAAGGATTCACTGCCTGGAATCTCTCGTGCACCTTCCAGAGGGATCAGTGTACTCAGTGACCACACGTCCCCATGTGCAGGATCGGGCCAGGTGTGTCCTGCGTGGGCCCCGGCTGCTGCTTTTTCTCAGTCTAACCACATTCGTATGTTTCTTTACACAAAATAACCCTGTCGCTGCACTTTCTGTCTGTCATGTGCATGCTGCGTGAACAGAAGAAGACGCACATTTTCTGGGAGAGCTGTCAGGTTTCATCCCAGCAGGAGCAGCAGTCATGCAACAGGGGCTCCGGCCACAGCCTATTTAACAAGCATCAGTCACTCTGAAAGGGGGGAGAGGGAGAAAGAGAGAGAGAGAGAGAGCAGCTGTTCCCGTACTGGCCGCTGCTCAGGAAGTACTTCTTCACCCAAATAGTGATGAACACATGGAATTCACTGCCACAGGAAGTGGTGGTGGCTACAAGCATGGACGGCTTCAAAAGGGAATTAGATAAGCATATGGAGCAGAGGTCCATCAGTGGCCATTAGCCACAAGGTACATACGAACATAAGAACATAAGAGACGCCAATGTTGGATCAGGCCAAAGGCCCATCCAGTCTAACACTCTGTGTCACACAGTGGCCAAAGGTACCAGGGGCCATCAGCAGGTCCAGCAGTGGGGCCAGGACATTAGAAGCCCTCCCACGGTTGACCCCCCCAAGCACCAAGAAGACAGAGCATCACTTGCCCCAGAGCCCCTATCTATACCTTGTGGCTAATATCCACTGATGGACCTCTGCTCCATATGCTTATCTAATTCCCTTTTGAAGCCGTCCATGCTTATAGCCGCCACCACTTCCTGTGGCAGTGAATTCCATGTGTTAATCACTCTTTGGGTGAAGAAGGACTTCCTTTTATCCGTTCTAACCCGACCGCTCTGCAGTTTCATGGAGTGCCCACGAGTTCTTGTATTGTGAGAAAGGGAGAAAAGTACCTCTTTCTCTACCTGCTCTTTCCCGTGCATAATCTTATAAACCTCGATCATGTCACCCCTCAGTCGTCTTTTCTCCAAGCTAAAGAGCCCTAAGCGCTTTAACCTTTCCTCATAGGGAAA